CAAGTACCCCCCACCCCTCTCCAGGGAGGAAAAAGTCTGAAAGAAACACTGAAACCAACCCACCCCCCCACACACCACCCCCCACCCCCACACACCACCCCCCCCCCCACACACACACCCCCCCCCACCCCTCCACCCCCCCCCCCCCCCAAAAAAAAACATGTCTACCGTCCCATTGCAAGAAAACCACTTTTTAGATTAGACACATTAATTAGGCGGTAATTTTATTATAGAGTATCGATGAAGAAATTTCTTTTGAGTTGGGGAGGGGGGGGGGGGGGGGCTCAGACGTTCTTACGCGGGGGGTGGGGCTTCGCCCCTACCCGAAGAATTGTATGCAAGAAACTCTTCACGCAAACCATTTAGATTAGACAACATTTCCTTTTTTTCAATGTTTACGCGATAATCAATGACGTCATATTACTGTGTGCACTCTCTGGTTTGAGATTATGTTCTACTCTACGCTAAATGTGTCGACGTCATATTTCGTTTTTCGAATTACTGTGCATGTTTTTATTTTGCTTGTGTTTTCTCTAGAGCGTTCTTGTCAGACAGAGCGTTCTTGACAGACAGCGAAACTATTAGTATTAACGAGAAAAATGGCCCGTTGAGGAAGGGTACAACGGGCGCTAGGCTGATAGTGCTGTCTCTTTTCTCTAAACTAAAACCAACCCACCCCCCCACACACCACCCCCACCCTACCCCCCACCCCCCCACACCACCCCCACCCCCACCACACACCACACACCACCCCCACCCCCACCCCTCACCCCCACACACCACCCCCTCCACACACCGCCCCCCACCCCCCACCCCCCCAAAAAAAAAACATGGCTACCGTCCAATTCAACGAAATATAATTATATACTTTTTCCAGTGTCCGCCCCCTCCCAGAAAATTCTACCCCCGCCCCCGAAAATTTCAAGTACCCCCACCCCTCTCCGGGGAGGAAAAAGTCTGAAAGAAACACTGAAACCAACCCACCCCCCCCACACACCACCCCCACCCCCCCCCCACACCACCCCCACCCCCCCCACACCACCCCCACCCCACCCCACACCACCCCTCCCCACCCCTCCACCACCCCCACCCCCCAAAAAAGCATGTCTACCGTCCCATTCAACGAAATATAATTATATACTTTTTCCAGTGTCCGCCCCCTCCCAGAAAATTCTACCCCCGCCCCCGAAAATTTCAAGTACCCCCACCCCTCTCCGGGGAGGAAAAAGTCTGAAAGAAACACTGAAACCAACCCACCCCCCCACACACCACCCCCCCCCCCCCACCCCCACACACCCCCCCCCCCCCCACCCCTCCACCCCCCCCCCCCCCCCAAAAAAAACATGTCTACCGTCCCATTGCAAGAAAACCACTTTTTAGATTAGACACATTAATTAGGCGGTAATTTTATTATAGAGTATCGATGAGGAAATTTCTTTTGAGTTGGGGAGGGGGGGGGGGGGGGCTCAGACGTTCTTACGCGGGGGGTGGGGCTTCGCCCCTACCCGAAGAATTGTATGCAAGAAAATCTTCACGCAAACCATTTAGATTAGACAACATTTCCTTTTTTTCAATGTAGAATCAATGACGTCATATGACTGTGTGCACTCTCTGGTTTGAGATTATGTTCTACTCTACGCTAAATGTGTCGACGTCATATTTCGTTTTTCGAATTACTGTGCATGTTTTTATTTTGCTTGTGTTTTCTCTAGAGCGTTCTTGTCAGACAGAGCGTTCTTGTCAGACAGAGCGTTCTTGACAGACAGCGAAACTATATAAAACGAGAAAAATGGCCCGTTGAGGAAGGATACACCGGGCGCTAGGCTGATAGTGCTGTCTCTTTTCTCTAAACTAAAACCACCCCAGCCCCCCCCCCCACACACACCCCCACCCCCCCCCCCCCACACCACCCCCCCCACCCACCCCCCCCCCCCCCCCACACCCCCCACACCCCAAAAAACATGTATACCGTCCCATTCAACGAAATATAATTATATACTTTTTCCAGTGTCCGCCCCCTCCCCGAAAATTCTACCCCCACCCCCGAAAATTTCAAGTACCCCCACCACTCTCCGGGGAGGAAAAAGTCTAAATTAAAACCACCCCCCCCCACTCACCCCCCTACCCCCCCCCCCCCCCCTCTAAAAAAACATGTCTACCGTCCCATTCAACGAAATATAATTATATACTTTTTCCAGTGTCCGCCCCCTCCCCGAAAATTCTACCCCCGCCCCCGAAAATTTCAAGTACCCCCACCCCTCTCCGGGGAGGAAAAAGTCTGAAAGAAACACTGGTGTCGCGCTTAGCCACTACGCGAAGAATTGCATTAAAGAAATTGCGAGAAAACCACTTTTTAGATTAGACACATTAATTAGGCGGTAATTTTATTATAGAGTATCGATGAGGAAATTTCTTTTGAGTTGGGGAGGGGGGGAGGGGCTCAGACGTTCTTACGCGGGGGGTGGGGCTTCGCCCCTACTCGAAGAATTCTATGCAAGAAACTCTTCACGCAAACCATTTAGATTAGACAACATTTCCTTTTTTTCAATGTTTCAATGACGTCATTACATTACTGTGTGCACTCTCTGGTTTGAGATTATGTTCTACTCTACGCTAAATGTGTCGACGTCATATTTCGTTTTTCGAATTACTGTGCAGGTTTTTAAATTCCTTGTGTTTTCTCTAGAGCGTTCTTGTCAGACAGATAGATAGATAGATAGAGAGACAGCGAAACTATTATTATAGATAATAATTGGATTCGTCATTTTCTTCTGAGGTCATCTTCTATTTCTCTCCCCTACCCCCCCCCCCCTCCCACCCCCGTCAGTTTCCTCTGGCTGGTAAACTATCTGGTTTGGATTTATCCATGTTTTCTGAAGTTTTTATTATTATCCTGCCTTGTGTTTATAACCTCTCGTTGCTTTTGTACTGCATCTTGTATCTTCTACTTTACGTTTTGTTTGAGAGTCTGAGTTCACTAGCACGCCATGATCTACTTGCGAAAAAAATCCCACATTCAAAGATTTACTCGCTACACCACACAGATACAAGATCTACTGCTACACCACACAGATACAAGATCTACTGCTACACCACGTGGTTCGCCTTACTGACAATAACAATGTCTACCCCCCATATAACAAAGCACCGGCACATCATCAGTCTAGCTTGCATGGGGCGAGGGGCGCCAGCACCCAAACAAAGCACCACCAGACAACCAAAAGAGCAGCTGTGATGTTCTTTTTACCTGTCTCTCTAGTCGCTGAGGTGAAGCTAGGCCTATATGTCACATATTTCTTTAGCGTTCATAGACCAACGCATCATGTCGCCCCCCCCCCCCCACCTCCACTTTTCTTTATGTCAGCTATGTTCACCCGACCGTGACCACCTAACATACAATAATCATCAGACACCTGATCAAATAACAATAAACTATACACGCGAATTTACTGATTTTATTGACACATTATAATCTAAAGATATGTCAGTTTCAATAATGTGTCCTCATTAAAAAATAACATTTAAAAGATTGAAAACTTTGCTAGTTTTTTTTTTTCTTTTAAAATATAAAGAGCCGCGGAAAACCCCAAACTAAAAAAAAAAAAAAAAAAAAACAAGAAAAATCCAGAAAATAAATAACTCGCTCGACTGAATACAACCCTCCACAAAATGAGACGGGTAGCCAGAGCGTCTACCTGGGACAGGTGGGTGGGGCGGTGGGTGGGTGGGTTGTGGCAGACACCAACTTAAGTGTCTGAATAAAGAAGACGGGATAGGTGATACGGTTGGCAAGAATGGGACACAAGAATGTGGTGACAAAGTTTTATGCGAGGCGCGATGCGCTTTGTGAACCCAAGTTGAACTGCGTACAGATATATGAGTCGGCTTGGATATCAGAATGACTTACATTTGCAATTCAAACGCATAAACCAAGCATGTGTTAGATACTAGAACACGCTGCATCATACGATTTCAGACTCTTTTAATTTAAAGTACTGTTTTATTTGTTCCATCAATGAAATAAAACACTTAACTGGAAATTACGTGAAATATGGATTTATGAAAAGAGTTTAGCCGTTTCTTATTGTGGTGAGTGTTCGGTACACGTGATTTTTCAGGTAGCTAGAAGTTAAAACAGAAGGAAGTCAAATGCTGTTAGTGAATGGTTTGTTCAATGGGATGTTAGCGATGGGTAACTGGCGAATTAATTGATGCTTGCTAATGCTGTAGGTTCGATTCCACCCTTTTCAATCCGTAATACAAGAGTGTCGCGCGAGTGAGTTATAATTACGGCCCATCAGTGGCGTCGCTAGGTCGGGTGTCACCTGGTGTGGAACCTTATGTTGTCACCCCCCCCCCCTCCCCCCACCAAATTATATATATATATGTATCGATGTTTATCTTTAGTAGACTATTAATAAAGTTGGATGTAGCATAGACTGAACTGGAAAAAAACAATTTTTCATATTTGTATTTCGCTATGTTTTTTGTCTAGGTGTCACCCCCTAAATGGTGTCACCCGGTGCGGTCCGCACCCCCCGCACCCGCCTAGCGACGCATCTTCGGCCTATAATCCTTAATGACTAATCAAAGTAAAATAGCTTTTAAAAAATAAATAAATAAGAAAACCCCATTTTAGTAGAACTATTTTAGTCTTATTAACTTAAGTTTATATCTAAATATAACCTTGATCTGGATGCTATATTAAAAGTTAAAACAGAAAAAAGATAATCAGTAGGCCCTAGGCTGACCATAACAAAACTCAAAAACTATTCTTACATTATCAATTATTTCGAAACAATTTAATAAATCAAATCAACATAACTATAACACAATCATTCTTCATTGATCTAGTCTAGTTTTTTTTTTTTTTTTTAGTAATTTAGGGCCTAGCCTAGATATCTAACAGCGCCGGTACAACACCGATAATTATTCAAATACAGAGGCAACGCACCAGTATTTGACAGTAAGAAAAGTTAATTACTACCGACTACAATACTAGCACGAGACTAAAGAGGTGAAGAGAGGCTGACGTCTGCTTCCAGCCGCACGGCTGTGTGTTGAATGGGGAAGAAATCCTTTGGACAAAAGGGAAAAATGTGTTGAACGCTGTGTTGCTTCGTCTGACTAGGCCGCTAACTTACATTGTACCTTTTGAAGTGCTATAAAAATTAGTTAGGGTAGCCCACCAGTGTAACACTACCAACAAGAAACTATAACAAAGGTTTACGACGAGTGTAAAAACCTGATTGTCTTGGAGGACAAGGGGACTCACTCTCTTGATTTCTAGGATTTTATTTAGGGATACAAACAGAAATAGCATATATCCGATCGAATGACCCGAATAGTGGCGAATAGCCATAGATCTAGATCTAGATCTAGATCTAGATCTAGATAGGCTTAAGTTAAGGTAAGATAAATTTAAAGTTTTTAAGTAATTTTAGAAACTATCTAGATCTAGATCTAGATCTAGATCTAGTATTTTTATTTAGGCCTAGATTCTAGCCTTTTTTCTAGGCCTATTATTTAATATTTATTTATTTTATATTTTATTATTTAGAGGTGCAATAGAGCAAGATTCTAGATCTAATCTAAATTTATTCTAGACTAGATCTAGAATACTACTAGTCTAGTAGATTCTAGTACTAGACTCTAGATCTAGACTAGATCTAGTGTTAAGTGTAGAGCAGAAGAGGCGTATCAATGGGGGGGGGAGGGGCACATGTAAGTAAGGGGCACCCAAAATCATGGGTTGGAAAAAGTAATCGAAAGTTTGAAGAAAGGGGGGGGGGGGGTGCAAATCGAAAGTTTAGGGGGGGGGGGTGGAAATCTAAAGTTTGAGGGGGAGGGGGGTGCAAATTGAAAGTTTGTCCCCGGGTGCCGTGTAGGGTTGCTATGCCTCTGGTGTAGAGTGTAGAGTAGACCTAATCTTAGAATCTAGTTATCAGTAAGATCTAGATCTAGATCTATTAGAGTTTAGAGAGGTCTAGATCTAATGATTTAAGACTAGTTTATACTTCATTTTAATGTTTGGTTTATCTTTTTATGTAAATAAAGGTAAAATCAGATATAGGGTCTGGAAAGATAACATTCGTTACTGTAAAGTACTGTAAACTCCATAGTTTATTTGACTGTTGAAATAATAATAGGAGAGTCAAGTGCATTAAATTAATGTTTTAACTTAATTTAATGTTTAATTGACATGAAACTAGCAACAATTAGGCCTAGTAAATCTAAATATTATTAATAAAGTCGAGTGTAGTAATTAATGTTTTTTTAAGAAACACAGAAAAAAACCTGTAGAAGATTGGCGACAAGTAGATTCTAGCTCAGTTAGTAAAATAAGACGATTAGATTTACTAAAGTTAAAAGTAGTAAGAACTAGAACAATGTTTAGTAGCAGCAATAATTAGCACATACACTTAAATAATTAGAAATACAAAATAATTAGCAAAACAGTAATTCAAAATGCAAATAAAATAATAATTGCACATTTTCAAACATAATGTATTAAAAATGATATGGCAGCAAATAAATGATGGTTTACATTAATTCTGGTGGTTTCCAGAACGGCTGGACAGACTACGCTATGGTTTTACTGTTTTTTACTGCTGTACAGTTCCGTTATAATAACCCACGCTATATCGTGATTTAACCTAAATAAAATGTAGTAGACTTCTAGATAGTTCTAGATCTAATCTAGAAATAATCGAGATTCTAGATAAGATTTAGAGAATCTACTAGATCTACATTAAACTAAACATTAAAATTAAGTCATAAATGTTTGTGTTGCGATTGTGTTTGCGTTAGTCGTTAGTGTTTGCATTTTTGTTTTTCCGTTACGTTTGTTTTTCCGTTACGTTTGTGTTTGCATTTGTGTTGTTTGTTTTTGATTGGTTGTGGTTAGGGTTAATTTAAAAAGTAATATATTTCCTATACCTGGCCTATGCTGCTTATTAAACACACTAGTCATAGTCCTTTTTACAGATAGGGTTTTCACAGAGGCCAGTGGAGGGCATGGGTGGGACAGCTAGTTATATATATAAAACCAACATATTCAGATTATTGAATGTCGATTACCGATAGCTTTCCAGTTTCTTCAAGATTTGAAACTATTGCTACAATGATTAGCCTAATTATACTGTTGCACCCTTTTAATATAGAATGTGACGTTTCTAAAATAAAATGATTTTTCTGAATATAGTACTGTTTGAAGTTTGAGAAAGATACACCACTTCGTTTAAATTTAGATTAAATTTACTGCTAGTTAGAGAATATTGTCATTAGTGATTATGGTAATAGTAGCAATGCATTGTTTGTTCGTCTATCCGTTTCTCATTGGAAAAGTACAGAGATGAAAATAATTTACCTTAAATGTGCACATCTCTGCCATTTATATGCCTCAGTAGTTAGAATAGATAGAAATAAAATACATTGATGTTTATTAAAAGTGAAAATAATTTGTTAAGAATAAATAGTAATGCTGTCCAGACAAACTAATGTGCATGGTGAAATATTTTGGATCCCTTAGCTTTGCGTTAGACAAATTCCACTGTAATATAGTGATGATCCAGGGTGGGATGCTATTTTATGAAGTGGAAATAAAGCATCCCCCAAAAAAATTGTGTAAAAGGAAAGAAGTCTATTTTCTATTTGTCACCACTTGACTCATGTAAGTCAGTGCAGCCTTGTATTCTTCTCTTATTTGATATAGGAGCAGGTTGAATAACTAGCAATGTTAGTCAAATGTAAATTAATTTGGTGGTAATCATAGAAAGTTGACATTTTTATGGTCTTGTTTAGTTAAACACTAAATACACTGTCATTAGAAATTAAATTGATATTATAGTTATTATGGAATGTGATAAATAAAAACAAAATTTTGTAACGACTTTGGAAACTAACTTATTCTCTGTTATCACCACATTTTCCAAAGAACTTAATATCTGCCTCTTAACTTTAAAAAACACACTCTTTTAAAGAAATGTTCTCTTTATAAAAATAATTATCAATAAGGAAAATTGACTCAATTAAAAATTTTAACAACTTTATTATATATTGAAAATTGGAAACAAAAAAAAACAACAAAAGAAGCATAAGCCTTCTGTTCAGTTATATTGTTTCTAAATTATCAGCGTTTCAGTTTGATCCAAAGAATCAGGCAAAAATATTAATTATTCCATTGCTTTTATTCCAATTCTTTGATTGTTCATAACTCTTTGAACTTTAAAAACACAATGATGTTTGATATTCAGCTATATCGATGACATTGTCTTTTAGAAGAAAATGTTTTCACCTTCTGTGTTTTATCAAATTTTTTAAAATAATTTTTTTTGGGTGCTAAGCAAGTATGTCAGAAGAATACAGGTTTTTCTAATTTTGGAAATTTGTTTATGTGTAAATTGTGGTTAACTTGGCACAATTAGATTTCATTGAAATATTCTTTATGTATCATTTCAAAGAAATGATCAATATCTTTTTAAAATACACCCACAACTTATTTGCTCTGCCATCTTCTGTTTAGAAAAAAATATCTCTTAAACCACTTATCATAATGGGTCATCCATAAATGACGTCACGCTTTTTTTGACGATTTTTACCTCTCCCCTCCATCACATGTCGTCACAAAAAGCCAGACCCCCCCCCCCCCCCCAAATGACGTCACACCTCAGCCTAAAACCCCCCTCAAAATTGCAGGTAAATTTTTTTTAAACAGCTATATTTTTCCAAAATCTTGTCTGAACTCTGTCAAAATAGAGTATTTTAATCAATTGTTATTAAAATTTATTAAAACAGTTTTCTAAAACGCAAAATAACGTCTAAAATTCGTTTTCTAACATTGCTTTTTTATAATGCAAAAGTGTGACGTCGCACCATCTGAACCCCCCTCCCCCTCATCACACACTGTCACAAAATTACGGACCTCCCCTCCCCCTACGAGTGTGACGTCATTTATGGACAACCCCTAATGATAATATCATTTTACTTTCAAACTGAGTGTTTCCCATTTTGTATCCAGTTAAATACACATTGTGTTGAGCCTGAGTTAAAAAATAATGTGTCTCTGATCACAGATCTTTCAAAATTTTGTTTGTTTGCCAGATTCATTCTTTGATTGTATCTTAGTGTAAATAAGACACTTAAACTATGGTAGGGCAGAGCTTTATTTGTTGCAGTATATGACATTTCAAAGGGAGATAAATGAAATCTATCTTTGTAGACACCTGCATACTTTATAATGTAAACCTTCTGGTGTACATTTCAATAAATACCAGTAGTCTATAGTAGCCACTGTGTTTATTGATACATTAAACAAGTCATAAAAAATGTCCCTTCTCACTCTTAAATCTTGCACATCTTTAATGTTTAGATAATGGGGCTGTGTTCTTTGTTTTTTATTTCAGTCCTTTTTATTTGTTTTAAATACTGAGTTCATGATTTAAAAAAAACAAACAATTTAACACATTTAGTATTGATTAGAAAACTTGCCTTCTCAATTATTTTTACCATGATTGTGATAGTTTATTTAGAACTTTGGCTATTATTAATGTCATCTAGCAAGATGGACATGACATCAGCAAATAATTAAAAAACGTGAAAATCCACCCACTTACAAAAATGCTAATGTAATTATCTTTAATTAGCAGATCTCATTTCTTAAAACAAAGCATTGTGTAGATCTAAAAATATAAAAAAATGCTGAGTGTACAGAAATTAAACAAAGCAAAAGACCTGTTCTAAGCTTATCTGTTAGTGGGTGGACACAAGGGTGAGGGAATTGTTTTTTCTAACTTGCAAAATATCAAATATATACATATACGGAAGTTCTTGTGATCACTGCTTTTACAATTGGTTACATAATATTAAAATTATATACTGAATTAAGCAATAGCTTGATAAGAGGTGGAAAATCTCACATAGTATCATATTTTAGAAAGGGTAACTGTGATAGGTTATATGGTGGAACTGACTAGTCCAAAAAGCACAGCAGCCTTAAGTAAGAAATTATGTAATGTTATTTTATCCCAAAAGCATAGCTGCTTAAGTAAGAAATTATGTAATGTTATTTTATCCCAAAAGCATAGCTGCTTAAGTAAGAAATTATGTAATTTTATTTTATCCCAAAAGCATAGCTGCTTAAGTAAGAAATTATGTAATGTTATTCTATCCCAAAAGCATAGCTGCTTAAGTAAGAAGTTATGTAATGTTATTTTATCCCAAAAGCACAGCTACTTTTAAGTAAAAAATTTATATAATGTTATTTTTTTCAATATATTTTGACACCTTAGCTTTAATATACTACACTTACCTGTCTTCATCATAATAATCACACTCATGTCTTTACTTTGATCACATAATCAGGTCTTTATTTGTATCACACCCACCTGTCTTCTCTTATATCACATCCACCTTTCTTCTCTTATATCACATCCACCTTTCTTCTCTTATATCACATCCACCTTTCTTCTCTTATATCACACCCACCTTTCTTCTCTTATATCACACCCACCTTTCTTCTCTTATATCACATCCACCTTTCTTCTCTTATATCACACCCACCTTTCTTCTCTTATATCACATCCACCTGTCTTCTCTTATATCACACCCACCTTTCTACTCTTATATCACATCCACCTTTCTTCTCTTATATCACATCCACCTTTCTTCTCTTATATCACACCCACCTTTCTTCTCTTATATCACACCCACCTTTCTTTTCTTATATCACACCCACCAGTCTTCTCTTATATCACACCCACCTGTTTTCACTTATATCACACCCACCTGTGATATAAGGCCTATTATACTAAGAGTTAACAGAAGCTTTACTCACTGTTAAAAAAAGGCCACATCTTAGGGTAGTGGAGGGTTAATGTTTATAAATATCCCGGGAAACGACACCTACATTAACCATTATTATGTAAACCACATTCATAGAAAGCAAATAAAGATGCTTTTGTTTTTATATTTTAAAATAATTCTCTCATGTCTAAATGACTGAATGATTAACAAAGTTAAATTTAAGCCAACTTTTTAAAACATATTTTTAAAACGTATTTACTTTAGTTTTTTCTTCCTTCCCAAAATTGTTACTTTTTGATTAATATCTTAAGTGCCAAGAACTTTGGTGATACTTTTTTATTCTTTCTTTCAACCATGATTGAATTATTTATAATTTAAACAAAAATCAATGTTTGCCAATATTCTTAATTTTTTTTTTAGTTAGCACAACTGTTCATAGAAGGGTCACGCGCCAGTTAACTTGAAAACGAGACCAACATCTTGAGTCACCTATTAAACTTAAGAAAGACTTGTTTGAATAAAAAAATAAATACAAAGTTCTGATATCATTTATACAAACATTTTTTTGTCAAAGTTTACAAAACACTCAATTGAGTAAACATATTTAGAATCTAGATTAGTGTTAGTAATTATAGTAATTATTTAATTATTTGAAAAGTTAGTAAGTTAGTCAGGCTGCTAATCATGAATTCTTGTAGATTATTTATTTAACCTAAAATAAACAGGATGCTACTTCTAGAATATTCAAGATTGGCCTTTAAGAAGGAGGTGTAGAAGATTAATTTATTTTTAACATCCAGATGTGTGCACATTAAAGGTCAAGGATTTTGCTAGTTGTACTGATATCCATTTTTATTATCACTTAGGCTTCTGCTAGTTGTATTAAAATCCCCCTCCCCCCAGTTATAATCATGTACTGCTAGTTGTATTAAAATCCCCCTTCCCCCCAGTTATAATCATGTACTGCTAGGTGTATTAAAATCCCTCTGCTATAATCATGTACTGCTAGTTGTATTAAAATCCCCCCAGTTATAATCATGTACTGCTAGTTGTATTAAAATCCCACAGTTATAATCATGTACTGCTAGTTGTATTAAAATCCCACAGTTATAATCATGTACTGCTAGTTGTATTAAAATCCCCCTGCTATAATCATGTACTTGTAGTGTATTGAAATCCCCACCGTTGTATCGAGTGTATTTCAAGTGCTGAATGATTGTCTTCCGTGGCTTTCCCTTTTAATTGGGTTATCCCGCTGGTCCCGACAGCTTGCGCGCCACTATTGTAACATGTTTACCCGTTTTTGTTGAACAGTTGATATCAAGCTGGCGGGCCCTCCCTCTCTCTTTGTTGCCACTGTATGTTATCTTTTGAAACGCTCCTGTGAACATCCATGGCATTCTCTTCTGAAAATAATGCATGATACGATACCTCTGTATTGTCCGTAACAACATATATCTATGGTTTGGTCTATAATGATATAAAAAAATGACCCTGGTCCCAACATCAGTACTAACTTTAAAGCCGTTGTGGCTGGTATGGTTAGGGCCACGATGAAGGCTAGGCTCCCGTTATCGTCTTACTTATATAGGCTACTTACATACACGTCACAATACATGTTTCCATGGCAACGGTAAAGAATGTTCGTTATCATTCACTGCGTAAACTTTAAATACATATTTACTAGTTTTCTGTTTCTTTTATTTAACCAATAAATGTTTATATATTTTATTTAATGTATTTTATCTCATAGCTCAAGAGTAAATACTCATTAAAGATATGATCTGAACATTGTAAAAGGATAAAAAAAACAACAACCGAATGTCTAACTAACTTTTTTTTTGCCTAAAGTTTTTATTTAGAGTGGGGGGGGGGGGTAGATGTTTACAAGTACTTGAAAGCTTGAACCCAATTTTCTCAAAAGGGCACAGATGCAAGACGGTAAAACTAACGAACAGATAGGTATGTCAAGGTCCTGGACAAAGAAGATGTTTTTATTGCCCCCCCCCCACCCCCGGTCTGTACTACCACCACAGCGCACCCACGTCAAATGATATAAAATTGTCTTCCCCGGAGCTATAAACGTGTCTACAGCTGTGAAACACTGTACAACATCTGTCCTCATTCTCCCCTCTTGTTATGTTATTATAACGTTTACATGATGAACAGAGGAACACATTTGAGGTTTAGGGTTGAAATAGGGCTACCCCACTAATGGTTTCACTACTAAACAACACTGACGGTGAAAGATGACTATCTTTTATAGATCGGTCAAACCCCCACCGCGGGTGAGCCGTTGGGTTTTTCTTTCACCTGAAAGCCAGACAAGTGTTAAACATTTACAGTGGGCAGGGGTAGAGTGGGAGGGAGGGTGTACTGGCTACAAGAGGAACTAACAAGGTCAGGTGCTTGAGGAATAAAGAAACCTGCAGCACCCTCTTCACACCACCGTAACCAACCCCACAGCTAACTCCACGTTCTCCAGTACAAACGTACACACTTGTATATTACATAGAACCGTATTTAAAATTAACTCGTCCCTTTTTAAAACCAAACAAAACATTTGTTTTTGAAAAATAAAATTAGCGATGATTGAGATTTATATTTCCTGCGATAGCCTGCGACGCTATAGAAAATGTTGGTGCACGCGGACGAAAATTGTCTGTGACCCTTGTTTGTAATTGAATAACTCAAGTGTGATGAACAGCAACATCTTCATCACCACTTGCCGGGGAGTTTGGCCCACGCTACACTGCTCGGTCTTCCGATTTGGTAATTACGTCACGAACTAGCGCTGTAAATATTTATATACACCTCGTGTATGCGTGGCGTCCAATGGAAGTTTTATCACGAGCCAGCATCGTTCAGTTAGACATACAAACACCATGCACAATTTGTTTGCATCCTAAACATGACATTAGCATTTCTCTAACACGCACTGTGTTTGTTTACTTTTTGACTTGTTATCCTATGCTATTGTTATCTACCAAATTTTATGTTAACTCTGTCTTCCATATGAAAATGAATGTTCAACCCAGCACAATACTAGATTAATAAAAGAATAATGCATTATCTTTAAATTAGGAATTATAACTGATTTTTTACTTTCTTTTTCTCAATAGAAAGATATTAGACTATGTTTATAATCTAAGCAATATCAATATAATCATCATATCACTTAATCTTAAAAAATAACCACTTTAAGTCAAGTGACTTCTGTGGTATTGGGTTAAAAATAATTAGTATTAAACTTCAAATAGATCTAGCTTATTGCATTTATAGAACTACAATAGAAATACCAAGCGCAACATTTGCTGCTTTACACAACTACTCATCTTCATTGTCGTTTTAATTTTTCTCCGCGAAATAAAGTAAAAAAAAGATGGCGCCCGAGTTTCCCCCTCGATTCTGCTGGGATGTACCGCCTCGCTCCATCTTTCACGCGCACACAAACACGGGAGGCCGGTTGCTTCTAGGCCGCATATTGATTGTGTTGGTATTGGTCACGAATGCTGGGGTGCGTGTTGTGTGAGCAATTCCATTACTCAAATTGCTGGATTTAACAGTGGTGATCTTTAGCTGGTTTTACCCGACATTATTTTTAAATGACCTAATGGTAGTATAAAACCCGTCTTTTTATTTTATTTTAAAAAGTGATCGTCAGGAGGCCCCCAGTTTAAGAGTGAAATAAAGGAAGCGTTAACGTTCCCCTGGCCAAGCAGCTGTACTCGCCCTCTGCTAGATTTAACAAGTGTTACCAGGAAATCAGAGACTGTGTTTATGGATTTTACACTTGGTGCGTTGTTTACATAACGTATTGTAAGCTTCCATATCAACAAACTATAGACGTTTGTGCAGAGATCAAGTTCAACGATTGGTAGCACTTAGTGAAACATTAAACCGCACCTGATGGTTTCAGGAGCTTTTTCTAAGATTTGGATATACCACGAAGAAAGTTTTTAAGTGCCACGTTATTCCAACTGTATATCAGATCATCGTGGATAACCATAGGGTACGTATTTCTTTTATCTAATGACTCGGCTTGTTTAATGGCAATCTTCATTGGCTATCTTAATCATCTCTAATTAAATGATAAAGAAGAAAGACAGTTGCCGTTAATTTAAATGATCAAAGCCCTCAACTCATCATTGATTTTGTAAAACAGACTTTTAAAATAGAAACGTCCATAAAATGAAAGGCAGATTGTATCGTAGAACCGTAAATTACAATGTATTGATTGGTCCTAGACTGGGAACTCCTGTCTGTGCTGCCTAGTCTATCAACCATTACACATCACGATTGGTGTAAGACTGTGAGAACTCCTGTCTGTTCTGTCTAGTCTATCAACCATTACACCTCACGATTGGTCTTAGACTGGTAGCTCATGTTTGTTCTGTCTAGTGTATCAACCATTACACCTCACGATTGGTGTAAGACTGGGAACTCCTGTCTGTGCTGCCTAGTCTATCAACCATTACACCTCACGATTGGTGTAAGACTGGGAACTCCTGTCTGTTCTGTCTAGTGTATCAACCATTACACCACATGATTGGTGTAAGACTGGGAACTCCTGTCTGTTCTGTCTAGTGTATCAACCATTACATCCCACGATTGGTGTAAGACTGGGAACTCATGTCTGTTCTGTCTAGTGTATCAACCATTACACCTCACGATTGGTGTAAGACTGTGGGAACTCCTGTCTGTTCTGTCTAGTGTATCAACCATTACACATCTTGCATGGTTTATCATTAACATGGAACACACATTTTACATGTCCATTCATGTTGCTAGTTAATTATTAATACTCATGTTTGCTGTTTCACATCGTTTGGTCAAAACTAGGCTAGTTATAAATCATCATTGACAGACATAAAAAATGTGTTTCTTTTCTTTAACGAACTTTATTTGGTCATGTGATAGTAGTTGGGGTGTGTGTTTCTGACGACTAGCCTACTATGTACTGGCGCCATATACCTTTGCTATGCACCATATGCCACCATACGCTATGAGTAATGGTAATCCAATACACAATGGTAAGGAGACTATAGGATGGGATGTGCTAAAAGCTGTCGTGGCCTGTATCATTTGATAGATCGTTTAAAAAAAAAACTACGGAGTTTTATATAACGAAACAAATAGGCATGAACTGCAATTTATTTACTAACAATTATTCAGTTGTTTATTTTATAAAAATGCATGTAGTTTATTAATAACAATGTAAGTTACCTTTTGTCTTTCATTTATTTGATGTGCTGTAGAAAGATCAATATTTAAAAAATAATATTGCAGCAGGCCTAACTAGAAGCGAGAAAAAAAAATGATCTGGCAATCTAGAGTTTCTGTCCAGGTTATCCTCTCTTTGTTGCACCCTTTCATCTCTGGATCCTCCCATTCTCTGCATTCGTCCGCCTCCCCGGTTGGGGTAATGCCCGCAAGTCATTATTTTCTGGACAGGGATTTGGCTAGTCAGAAGCCCGGGCTTGTAAATGATATGCCGCTCCCGTGAAGTGGGTTTAGAGGAAATCGTTCCTATACAGCTAGAAATTAATCCTCAAGTGCACGATCTTCATATAAATATAAAATAACTATTAGAGAAAAGCTAGGCAAGTATCGGTGTTTGTGATTGGCCTAACTTTCTGTCGTTTGATTACATGTTGCTGTTGTTGTTTTAGAGCACTCAATGAAATAGCTGTCATAACATTCCTCAACAACTACGCTTAGTCCCTACCTATGTTTAGATATTGCAGATGTTAAAAGCGAACTGTAATCTTGGCTACACACAGCTCCTCAAACATAAACCCATGTGTTTGTAATCCTACTGTTTTCTAAAACATGGCTGTTTGAAATAATCAATCCGCTGTATAGGATTACATTAGACGACCTATTAGTAATGATTTGAAGATGTCTGTTAGTAAATTAAAGGGATGTTGCACATAATGTTCTGCAGCCAGACTGTGTATAAAAAAATGCCGTGTTCTTACTAGAGCTGGGCAATGATTACATTGTTTTGTACAATAATTGGTACTTGGTTTAAAAGCTGTTAGTTTTTGTTCCCGCCTTACCCGTCTGCTATGATCGTCAAGTCCAGCTTTCTTGTATTTGATTCTACTTTACACAGAGCCCCCAATCAATATGAGTGTTGGTATTTTTTTTATATCTGTGTTATGTATGCGCACGCACCCCATGATCGCGCGCACACAATTGTAAGCGTCGCACAAGAGCGGCTTTAAATATCAATAGCACAACATGCAACATTGATCTTCCATTTATGGATCCCACAGCTAATTCCAAATGGGACTACATCTCTTAATACTCCTCCAACCAATTTTTTTTTTCAACGTGAGATCATACATTATTTTTTATACATTTTCTATTGCTTACTCATAAAAGCGTAAATAAATGCTTTACTTCAATTTTATTCGTTTGGTGTCTTATTCTCAACTCCTATCCCAACTATAACTACAATTAAACCCATTCTGTGTCGTATTTCCAACTTTTATCCCTCATCCCCCATCTCAACTACAATTAAACCCATTCTGTGTCGTATTCACATCTTCTAACCCTCATCCCCCATCACAACTACAATTAAACCCATTCTATGTCGTATTGCCAACCTCTCTCCCCTATCCCCACTACATCTACCATCCAACCCGCCAACCGCCAGCCAGTAGTTCCTTATCTCTGGTTATCAGAATGTCATCACACAGGCGTCTTGTCCGATCTTTCAAACAGGACCCAACAAGATGTAAAACCGTATTAACCCTTGCAGACGCACTGTCTTTTAACTCGTATAATCAAAATTTATTAACTCTTGCAGGCATGTTTTAACTATACAACAGAACCGTATCAACTCTTGCAGACGTGTTTTAACTCTATACAACAGAATCGTATTAACTCTTGCAGGCATGTTTTAACTATACAACAGAACCGTATTAACTCTTGCAGGCGTGTTTTAACTCTATACAACAGAACCGTATTAACTCTTGCAGACGCCCCGTATTTTAGCTCGTATAACTCGAGGCTATTTTCCAATTCAAACTGAGCATTCCGTCAGATATTAATCTTTGATGCGGATTGAACGAATCGGCTTGCATGCCACTAAAACATTATTAGGGTAACTGTACATGTGAATCAATTTCCCCAATGACTGTAGCAATTAAAACACTGAGAAGCAGACAATTATGCATTTTACCGGTACCATTGATTTTATACATAGATGTTAAAGTTTATTTCCGTGTTGGGCCAATTTTTCGTTTCAATTCGTGATGGTGTTTTCTCCATCGATCCGCTAATTTTTCCCCTCAGCCAGGACACGCGTGTAGCCTGATCTATAATTGATCCATCTCGGGACCTCCACCCGTGGTGTAAATCATTTATTCAGAGTGCCAGGAGCGTGAGTAGATGAATAAAACATGCTCTTCCTTCTACTGCCTCAAGACTCACACAAGTGGTAAACAACACGTGCGTGCTCATGATACTGGCCCGCATTCAATGCCCACATTCTGGTCAATAGTCTACTATCTTATTCCGATACACAGCGGCATACTCCGTCCAATCAAGCTGCAGTCATTCATTATTCTTCATGGAATTCTGACATGGAAGCCACGCAGCTACTGGCTTGCATTGTTGTCAGACGACGTTCCAGTGAAACAGTTTTGTAAAAATCTTTATAACTTCTTGAATAGTCAAAACAATGCTAGGCCGTGGACAATGAATTTATTAGTGTTACTCATTTCTTCATTCAATATAGGAAACTCTTTTTAAATCCTCAAAAAAAAAAAAAAAAAAAACCCACCATGAAAGTGTGTATAAAATAAAAAATCACTCGTCCAGAATTGAGGTGCCGAAGTGACCGTGATGTCTGATTGACTGAAGTACTAATCAATTAGCCAGCAATTAGATATGAGTTGTACGTGTCAGTGAATGTTGTCAGTCACAGCTCACCACTCAGTCTACCGTTACCATTTGTTAGCTTTAAAGGGACCAGCCCCCTCCCACGTTTGCTACAAAAATCAATCAGCGTGTTATACGGGCTGTCCACAAGTTAACACATTTTCCCCAGAAAAAAATGATGGCTTTTTGTGTGTGTGTGAGCGCGCACTCCTTTCCCCGATCCTCTCGGCGCTATAATTGAATGAGTATGAGAAATCCGAGTCAAGCCAGCACAGTCCGCGCTACATTCAAAGTGATGAGGGATCAAACACAACCCTTTTCAGTTACCATAGAACCAGCTCAACCATTGCACACAGATTAGTTGTCAGAATTTTTAGCAGTGCAAGTTAACCATTTAAAAAAAATTATTTGAAATAACCAAGCAAGGGTGTGTTTTTTTTTTTAATGTAAATAAAATATTTTAAAATTATACTTTATATACGTTAATGTTTTGATTCGCATTCTAAATTATTTGTGGAGAATTTAATTATAAAAACAATTCTATAGAAATTTAAAAATAGATGAAAAAAGCTATAGAGGTCTGCACTTTTATTCAAGGTTTCTTGCAAAATCCTTTGTTTAAAATAAAAAAAATCCAAACAAATCCCATTTAATTTCACTACTTTTAAAAATCCAATTGTCTTTTAGATCATGTCAGGTTATGAACGATATTTTAAATGCCATTTCTATACTTAATCCGTCTCTTTAACATCCAGAAAAATCTCACCAAGCTGTTTTCGATTTTTGTGAAGTATTAAAGTGTCTCCCTCCCCCTCCCCGTGAGACAACGTTAAATGTCAACCCAGCGAGTTATATAGCAGAGTATCACAGCCCAGCATATAATAAGCATGCCAGAAATTAATACCCTCAGCTCGTCTGTCTGAGGCTTCCAGATGAGAGGGTGAGAGAAATTTCTTGAAACACATGGACCGGTTGTTAAAAATAGCACGGAAGCTACACCACACTGCTATCAACTAACTGTTAGATTGACGCGAAAATACATCACAGCTAATGCATAATTCATTTACTCATTCATCCTTATGCATTGTCACCTATGTGTGAAAGGCTTTTTCTATGATT